AAAACTTCAATATATGGCATTAGAGGAAAGGCTCTTCATTGGTTTAATACTTGCCTCAAAAACAGAAATCAATATATATCAATAGGAGCAAATCGGGTAAACTAAGCATTACTTCTGGTGCTTCGCAAGAATCCATACTTTGACAACTACTTTTTGCAATATTTATTAACAATCTTGCCCTAATTACTTCTAAAGCTAAATTTTTCTTTTTTGCCGACGACGACACGACACAAAAAATTTACATCGTGCCCCAATTATAGTAACTCAAAATCGCATTGTTCGATTGTTGCTTGGACTTCATCCACATTGCCACATAACCGGCCATTATAAGGAAGCAAACATTTTCAATATTATAATAGGCATCTCTATTTTATTTGTGTGTATGTATAAAGCTTAAATTTCTATATATAAATATGTTAGTATGTGTGAATATATATGTGCGAAAATATGCTAACATGTACATCTTTTTTTAATTTTTTATTGCTCATTAAAAACGATTGTTAAACTTTGATTATATTTTTTAGTTTTAGTTTTAAATATAAGAACAATTCTTTTGGGTTTTGAGATCATTTCATTTCATTGATTCTGTTTTCTTTGATTGGATGAAATAAAAAAAGTTTAATGTTTAAAACAAATTTATTTCGCAAAATGACAAAGACTGAAGTTCAAAAAAACTTTTACCGAGCCTATGTAATTATATATTTTTATATGTATATATTTTTAAATTTTAGGTGAAATCATAACTGGATCTGTAAATGGTAACAAAATTTGGGGTTTGAGTTTGAAAAATATGAAGATCAGTTGTGTTACCGTTAGTTGTGTTACATATATTCACCATATCTGTTTTTAACATTTTGATTTTGAACAGAATTTTTTATATTAATATTGACAAAATGTTAATTTAAATTAGATTTTTTTATGTCCTTATCTCAAGTCAGATTTTGTTTAAGTTAGTTTTCATATTTTGCGCGTAAAATAGCGCTGCAAAATAATACTCATAATAATACATTTTACATAATTACTTATTCTAACAACTTTATGTTTAAATTAATAACACTACAATTTATTAGCAATTTTATTAGCAAATAAGATGAAAAGAGTATTATATGACATTCCATTATCACATTATATACACAAATATATATATATATATATTATATAAATATGGCGAAAATTAAATTTTCCTAGTCTTTCTAGTTTGCACTTTTGAGTTTTTGAAAAATCATGTCTATTTCTATTGCTTGTAACGTACATTCTTGCCGTTTTTCAAATTTTTGTAATCTTTCTTTTTTCTGTTTCATTGTCCCCAATGCTATATTTTTCATGACGTTATCTAGACCAATGTTACCATTGCCAACTTTGACGTTAAATAATTTTTTTAACTTTTTTGATTGGCTTTTTCCCCTATTTATTTGTTGAATAATTCAACCTTTTTATCATTGTGATTTGTTGTTGAGACATAATCTACTACAACGTCGATATTTCTTCAGTACTCTTGAAATCTTAAATTTTTTAAACTTTCATTCACTGGATTTTATTAATGATCTTAATGGTCTCATCTCCAAGCATAACACATCTATTAATTATTGAGTTTATTTACCATTGATAAATA